GAGTCCCGTGCTGACGGCTCGTCTCTAACCTGGCCCCGCAAGCAGCTTGTCACCTCCCGCTCTCGGAGTGTTTCTCCTGAAAAGATGGGAGTGGGAAAGGGACTAAGCCAAGGCTTTCTCCAGGCCACACAAGAAGCTTGTGGCTGAGCAGGGAGTTCAAATCCCATCTGCCCCAGGCGAGGGTAACATCTAAACAACTACTCCACCCTCCTTCCTTCCCTGAAGAGATCCCACACTCTCTTGTGTTCCCAAATGAATAATCTCTCGGTGACCTTTGTCCTGTCAGCTTACAGGATTCGTTTTCCAGGATCCGCTAACATGACAGCTCTCCCTGCTTCCCCAGGGGAAGTATCGAGGATCCGTCTGTGACCTGGTCCTGTCAAGTGCTGCCCAACCCTTTGGATGCCAGCTCAGTGCAGCAGGGAACCGTGCCCGCGCCACATGCCCGTTACTCTCATTCACAAATAACGGGCAGGACTGTGAAACAGTCCCAGTTCTGCTGTGCTTCCCACCTGTACAGCTCAGGACACGTGCCCCAAGAGAGAGGACGGCACTCACCCATGGCCACCTCACAAACCAGGAGTAAGATTCCAGTCCTGCTCCTTTCTCAGGCTTACATGAGGAAAAGCAAAGGTCCTTTGGGTTGGAAAGGGCCAACCTGGGAGCAGCTGAATGGAAAGGGACTGCAGGGTCCCTGCTTGTGAGGAGCAGATGTTAGAATCTCTGCAGCAACCCAAAGTACATGAGCAGGGCTGCTCACAACTGGGTCCTGCAATACACCAAGCCCTTGACAAGCACCTCATCACCAGTGAAACACACCTAGCCAGCAGCTTGAAACCCAAGACAATGTCCTGCTGCTGACCTTCTCTGAAATTACCTCTGTCTAGCTGTGAGTCTCTGCCTCAGTTTCCCCTTCCCCCATATCCACATAGCCGATTTGCCATGCAGTGGGGGAGACGCATGCACAGTACAAACCAGCAGGCCCCAAAGCTCAGTCCACATCCCTGGCCCACCCAAAGGGACTGAGCAAACATACTGGGGTTCATCATTTCACCCCTGCTTTCCCCGAGCAGTGCTGGGAAATGGGCCATATGGCCACAAGGCTGGTACGTGCCTGGGACAGACCTGCCCTTTCTGATTACCTTCCCAAGGCTTATTGCTAATACACTGCCTGCTCCGTCTCATTCCAGCGTGGGAATGAATCATCCTACCTTTGAATGCTCGCTCTAATTTTCCCTTCCTTCATAGGCTACCCAGAAACAAAAGAACCAAGAGCAAAGGGGTGCGTGAGATATTCCCACCGTGCTGCCTGCTTTGCTCTCAGCACGACCCTCCCACCCCGTCACACGTTTTGGCTGATGGCAGGTCCCCTCAACACCTGCATGGGGACCCTGGACACAGCTAGTTCTGCTGCTGTGAAGGGCACAGGGCTCATCCCTTCCTGGGCTGCAGATGTGTCCTCCATCTCCTTGAGACAGACCTGCTGCTATCCCCAGATCCAGACCCATCATCCCCCTTATGCACAGCACTGTCCTTGGGGTGGGTGGGAATAATCTCTGGGAACAGTGGGGAGGGGGGTTGGATGTGTTTGTACTTGCCTTTCCTGGAATATACTGCAGGATTTTGTCTGTGGTCGTATCTCTCTCCTGCCCTCCTTCTATACCAAAAAAGCTGGGCAGTTTTTTCTTGCCATTTTGTCTACAGAGGGGAGAAAAAAACCAAAACACACATGCAAACACAGATCTAGGCTGGTGCATAGTGAGTTCTGCCCAGAAATAAGGAAGCCAGAAAGCTAAGTAAGCAATTTGTCACGGGCTTTCTAATCATCCCAGCCCAGCAAAGGGCTAATAAACAGCCTGGGAGAATTGTAATGGGGTTTGTGCTGCACTTGTTGGTGTTTCTTTGCTTTTTTACATGTCTCTGCATAACCAAATGATCAGCTAGGCTCATCTGTGTCTCCAAATCAGCGGAGGGACCAGATGTTCCACTGCAAAATACAAAGACCAAATCCAGTCCTGACAACTATTCCAAAGCCCCTGGAGTGCATATGTACACATACACCAACATATATTCACAAACAGGTTTTGTTTCTATCTTTGTGGTTTTCCTCTTTCTTTCCTTCCTCTCCCAGCAAGACCCCCAGCTTCTCCTTGCATGCAGACCATTAACGAGCAGTTACCGATGCCATTTAAGAAGCACTGGGACTGCTTGGTCGGGGCTTCTCAGCAGTTGCTCTCTCTTTCAACGAGATTGCAGCATTTAGTTCAGCAGAAACCAGGCTTATCTCCACGGAGAGCCATGAGCATGGGAAGCCTGGAGTCAGTGGGAACAGGAGGTGCTCAGGGGCTTGGCTGCTCCACTGCAGCTACCTGATGTCAGCTTTCCAGGGTCCAAATTCCCCAACTTTTCCCCTCTCTTTTACCCCACAGTAGCTCCACACGCTCCTACAAGTTTGCTCCCAATTTATGGCAGCACAGGACACCAAGGAGACAGTTTCAGCGTCTCCTCTTGATTAGAAACCCCTCAGCGTAGCAGAGTTTATAGGGTTTGTCTCAAAGCCCAGCATGTATGCTGAACCCAACCTTGGGGCCGGCAGGTTCGTTGGGAATCGCCCTGGTTCCCGACAGAGCTCCTTTCCAGCCCAGAGCGCCCAGGATGGGGAGGGCTCTGCTTCGTATGTGCTTAGGTAACGGCAGCAGGGCTGGCTCTGCGCTGATGGGAGCACGGGCAGTGGGAAAGGCAGGGAAGCCTGCTCTGCACTCCCTGCTAGGCTCTATTTTGGGACAGCCGTCCATCGCTGTGGTACCCGAACGCTGCCCTGGCCAGCCCAGCACCAAAGTCCCCAGAGGATTTTCACGGACATTTTCTGTTGTGTCTTCCCCCAGGGTTACAAACGCAGATCGAATCCTATGGGCAGAATGTTGGGCTTTGGGGCTTTCTTTCTAAAGTAAGAGGAGTGTGATTGTTGTTGGTTTTTCACAACAGAGCACCGCAACTCTGGGCGTCGTGAATAAAAAAAAGGGCAAGTGAAAACAAGGAGTGTCAGGCATTCTGCACCTTGCCCTGCCTGTCCCATAGAGGGGAGTTTTAATTTTCAAAGTGAAATGAAATAAATCGCGTCTCTCCTGGGGGCAGTGTCGCTGGGATACTCCGCCGGCAGAGCCCTAGAATTCCTTCCCAGGCACTTGTGGCGAGCTGATCGCGTTTGGCACTGCCCAGCACCCTGCGAAACCATGCAAAAGCCCGATTTCTGCTGAGCACGTAAATAACTCCTGGGTTTCCCGAGCGGGGCTCAGCTGCTAGCCCCGTTCTGCGTGGTGCATCGCATGGGAGAAAGTCAGCAGGGAAGCCAGCACCACTCGAAAAGCAGTCCCAAGGAAAAGCAAGTGTACTTACTCTTTCTTCAGCGAAGGCTTCCTTCTGAAAGAGCCTCTGAGCCTCCCAGGTGCCTGAGGAACACAAGTTATGTTCCCCA